AGCCCTCGCTCCCAGACAAAGCTGAGCTTGACCTGCTGAGATGGCGAAAAAGCTCTTTTAAAAAAGCAAAACAAATCACGTTTATATTTCTTCCCCTGTACCTCCCAGTTAAAACCCAGTCCCGCTCTGGCTGTAGCTTTAGTCTGACTGTTACATCCGTTTCCATCTCCTACTCCCCTTTTACTTTGTTGCCGCTAACCAAGAAACCTTTGTATTTTGCATTGCATTTAATTCCATAGCAACAGGTTGCTGCTGTCACAGCAGCTGCTGATTGCTTTTGAATTGTCTTTCAAGCAAGTTCCAGAATAAATACAAAAGAGCAGGTCTTTGCAGGGCTCATATCAAAGCTAGCCAGTCGCAAAGCCTCCCGATCTGGTATTTAAAGTCCCAGAGTCCCATATAAAACCTGAATCAACAAAACTGAAAAGGATTTCACTCACACAGTCCCACTCTTTTTCCCTCTCCTGCTCATCAAACAGTAATTTCTACCCTGAATTGGTTTCCCAAAGGGCTCTTTAATGAGCTTTTTCTATGGAGCCTTATACTCCTGTCTGCCCAGCTCACATCAGCTAATGCCACTGCCTACCCAGCTCCCACAGGCAAGGAGAGATGTTCCCAGTCCCCTTTACAGCTCAGAAATTCAGGCTCCAAATCCCTTTGAGACTGTGCATAACACCCGTAGGATGCTTTGCTTCCCAAGCCCAACGGCCCCTGCTAGTAAGAGGAGGCAAATACGAATTTGCAAGGTTGTTGTGTTTTGCCTGGTGCCTACTACCTGCTCTGAGCGACGTTTTTCACCCTCCCAGTCCTGAGCAAAGCTGGAGCTGCTGGTCTTGTGGTGGGGGAGAGACCAGAGCCTTCCTAGAGCACGGCCGGATTGGTCCCCTGCTCCTCTGGGATGGGGAGAGATGCACACGTGAACAGGAGCCCCAGCTGGAAAGCCCATCTCGTCTGTCAATGGGCCCCTTTCTTGAGAGCCGCAGCAGCCAAGCAAAGGTAAATAAGGAAAACAGAAGTACAAATTCTTCTCGTCTGCCTTGGAAATTACTGGCTTTCCCTGCAGGACTATGGCTGTGTCTGGGTTGGCCCCCCCCCCCTCAACCTACTTGGCAGATATTAGCATTGCAGACTTGCAAGTTCTCCTAAAATCATGGCACGGTCAAGTTGAGTGAGAGCAGCCGTGGAGCAGGAGACACGTGATGTCCTCAGGACAGGAGAAGCCCTGGACTTTATTCCCAGATCTACCACTAACCTTGGACAAGACACTTGACATTGTGCCTCAGTTTCCCAAGCGCTGAAGCAATAATAATTACAGCCGGGTTGGTTGCTTAGGAGGTTGTTTGTGAACCGCCCCACCGAGTGCCAACCCTGTTATTATTCCTCAGCCCTGTTATTAGACCTAAATCCAACTTGGTTAAGAATGAAGACTCCTGTGAAAAACACACAAACTGTTTCCCAGATCATCATTTTTATTAAAATTCACAAGCAGCTGAAGGAAAAAAAGAAAATAAATGACTAGAAAAATGTAAATAAAAGTCATTCAGAGCATTGCAGGCTGGCTGTGTACAAAGTATGTTCTTCCTAGCAGCAACATGCGCTCTCTGCTCTGAAAAGACCTTTGTTGTTTGAAGCCATGTCAAGGCTTTTCATCACATTGCATCATTCAGCTGGCCAGGCTACAGCTTAACCTAATCCAAGGGCAAAAGGCAAGCCCAGAGCATCTGCAGGACCAGCTCTGCTGCGGAGGGAAGAGGGATGCTGGGGCGGTGCAGGACCAGTCTTTGGCAGCGGCCAGCCCTGGAAGAGGTCAGTCAGGAGCTGCATCCTTGTAGCGACGGCCAAAAGCCACGTGTCTTCCTCCACAGCGTGAATGAAGAGTGACTTGGGCTGACGGCTGTTGCATGGATAAACCCAAATACAGTTGGCAGCCAGCATGTGCAGATAACCTAGGGCAGCTACGGCCCAACCGTTGGCAGCCAATGTGCAGTCAAAAATGCTCACATCTCCCCAAGGTGAAGCCAGGATGTGCGATGCAGGAGGAAGGAGAGGGGATCCCTCCCCAGCTCGCCCTGCCAGCCAGTGCTCCCCAAGTCTGCTCGCTTTCCTTCCGAGGCCTTGCTAGAGGCAAGATGTCCCCTCCCAAGGCGCGAGCTTTGCCCCGCTGCACCTCTGTTTCTGCTCGTTTCCTAATTACGCCCTCACCCACGCGCTGCTCGGCGAGCACGGCGGGGAAACTCAGAAGACCGGCTCTGAGCACGCAGCGGGTTTTATCTGGTGAACATCTCGGCAGCGGTGCCGGTGCCTTGGCATGCTAACAGAGCTGCCGCGCTCACCCTAGCAGCTGCGTGCGGGGAGCTGCCCGGCCTCCAAACAAATTGCAACTGGCTGCAGAGAGGAAAGAGGTGGAGGGGGGGAGAAAAAAAAACCCAAAGTGCAAAACAAAAGGCACCTGCCCTGTTCCACCGCGGTACCTGGTGCTGCTGGCAGCTGCCCCGAGCTCCCACACTTCAATGTTTCAACAGCCATCGCCTCCATGGAGTGGCCAGAGGATGGGGAGAGCCAGGTGCTCTCAACACCTTTTCCCTTTAAAAAACACTTCCAAGTCAGCCAAACAGCAGGCACTGCTGATGGCAAGTTCACTGCCTCTAAAAAAACCAAACCAAAACAAAACCTCTTAACCCTCTCAATCAAGTAACAAAAAGTACCTAATGGCTCCCCATGCCATGCTGGCCGAGGGATGCAGCCTGGTGCACATCCTCCATCTCCCCAGTCCTTTCGGGTCACTGGTGCCCACGAGCCATCCCTGTGTCCCCCATACCCAGCCCCAACCCAGCAGCCAGCGCTCCTGGCTCCTCGCCGTCCCCATGCAGCAACTGGCAGTGGGGCTGGGTGGCCCTTGGTGCTCCCATGACATGATGCCAGCGGCGGGGCTGGCTGTGCCTCCCGCTTCTGGTGCCAGGAAGGGATGCAAAAGGCTCCTGGGAGTCCTGTGCAGGAGGAGAGGAGGGGACTCGGTCACTGTGTCGGCTCCAGCAGCGAGACAGGGGACATGGATGTGACTCTGGCATCTGTGGAGGGAAAAAGAAAGCTCATTAGCAGGCGTGATGCTCGGCTCAGCCCGCCCACGGGAACACCAGAAAAGGGGTTGCACATTGGCAGCTATTGGGGTAAAAGCCTCCCACCCTGAATCCCAGAGATGGGTGGAGGTAGAAAGCTGGTTTATTTGGGGTTTGCTTTGCTTTTGTAGGAGTGAAGAGAGAGTGGGCGTTCGGCTGGGGAGGGCTCAGAGCACTACTTCTGTGGCCATGACAAGGGAATGAAAAGTTGAGGGAAATGGAGTTTTAGCTTTTTTTTTTAGGGCAGGGAGGGGGGCCCAAGAACTGGAACAGATAAAACAAAAAGCCACCTTCTCTCTTTTTCCACTGGTTCCTCCAAAACCATCTGTATGACTATTTCCAAGGGGTTGATTAATCCAGTCTGGGGCCAATCTCAGACTGCACAAGTTTCCATCTGCCCAGGGTTAGGAAAAGCCTGATTTTCATCGACTTTCCTCCCCAGGCCAGCCACTCCCTTCCAATGCTGCTTGATAAACTGGCTTCAGAGACAACCAGCCACTTGCAAAGAGCAACAACAGCAGAAAACTGCAGTCCCTGTTTATCTGGCCTTGCTATTATACACATGCAAATGGATTTCCCTAGGAGCCACTGAGAGAAACCAGCTGTGACTTTGTTCCAGCAATACCAGGGAGGTTGTAACAGGTTGCAAGCAACCAACTCAGCAGCACGCAGGTGAGCTGCGGCGCTTAGGAGACAGTAGATTATCCTGAGATTTTTATTTTTTGGGCTGCCATTTGCAGACACACAGGGCTTTTGCATGAGAAGATGTCCGGCTGCGAGCAGGGCTCTGTGGACGGAGCCAGGAGCGATGCACAGCAACAAAATCCTGCAGCTTCTTGCCAGGTAAAAGCTGACCAGGCACTGCTCCATGTGGAAGGGAAGCCAAACCACGCAGTGTTACACCATCTTTGCAAAAGGCTTGTTATCTAAGCTGTAATGAAATAATCAAGAAAAGTCACCGAACAGATCTGACACATAGTGTGACCACGGTATCAGAATACAGTTCTGGGCCTGGCATGCTGCCTAAATCCTTGCAGGAGCTTTGGGGCCAAAGTTCAGCTCTTAGGTGCCAGAGCAGCCTCAAAACTCTGCAGCCTCGGCCGCTCAGCGCCCATCCAACGGCAGGCACCAGCTGCTGCTGCCACCCCACAACCCTCACAGGACCTAAACCCACCAAAGGGCTCCGGTGGGAGCCACAAAATGGGCTCTGAGCTTTCGGATGAGCCCCAGGAATAAGTGCCTGAGCAGTGCCTGGCCACCAGTCTCTGATCCCTACAGCCCAGACTGTGAGGAGGGTCCTGCAGGAGCTGAAAGGCCCTGGGAGGGGAAGCCCTGGCTCTTTGCTGCTACAGGATTTGGCTCATCCCCATTTGTTCCGAGATGGGAGTTCTGACATCTCCACCCCAGAGGAGCATTTGAGGCTCAGGAGGTAGCACAGACAGATGCAGTGACTCCCCTCTCCACTTCACCTTCCCCAGCTGGACCATGCAATCTGCAGCTCCTTCATCTCCATTGACTGTTCCAGCCCCCAGCTGAAGGCTCCTCTCTCTGGCCCAAGCCCATCTGTGACTCTGACCCACGAAAACGAGAACATCACACAGGACGGATAGCTTGGAGAAGCCACTTTTAATTTGGAGACAGGCAGTTTCAAGAACCTGTTCCTGGTACCACCTGAAGTCACCTCCTGGGGGGTGTTGAGTTGTCCCCATCCATTGTGATGGCACAGGACTGCAACAGACCACCCAGCATCATCCCCTGAGCTCCTGGCTGGTCTTTTCTTATGTTTATAAACACAGAGAGTCTTTATTAGCTGAGTACTCAGTATTTTATTTCCCTTTTGTAACGATTCACCTCCTCATGGCTTCACCACCATGGGTGGGAGGAGATCGGGCTTTTACGTTTCATATTGTGAATCACGCTTGATCCTTGGAATTAACTGCAGGTAATAAGCACTCAATTAATGTCACACAGCATCCTTGGCAGGGGCACTGGGACCTCTGCTGAAAGGTGCCCTGGCTCCAGCTGGGAAGGGTGAAGGCCATGCCCTCAAGGAAACATTTCCAGCCGATCAGTTTTACATTTTAAATTAAAAGCAGACTTGGTGTTTTATGATCAACATTTTTCAAGGTTTGGGTTTCAGGGCTGGTATGAATGCAACCTCACCAGTTTATAGGCGAGAAGGTTGTTTTTTTCATGAGTACAACGTACTATTTCTTACCATGTGATTGCCCAGGCCTTTCCCCACCAGCCCACCTTGCTCTGCTCTATGGGCACCTTGGATGGTCCCTCCCGAGCCTTCTCCAGCTGAGAGGGGTTCCCAGATGATCAGCATTCCCAAGACACACCAGCACCCGGGCACATGCTGGCCAACTTGCCTCTAGGTGCCCCTACTTGAAGAAGGATCCCACAGGGACTAAAATGGCTATTGCAGCAGAGACCTTACGTAGCGGGAGCTGCAAGCCAGAAGATCCCTCGGCCAGACCTGCTAAAGGACAACAGGGCAGTCGTAGGACCCTATAGCCAGTTACCCCAGTTCCTGAGCCCAGTTTTGCACAGGTGCAGCCAGGACAGCCAAGGCAAGCATTTGGGATGTGGCTGGTACGGCATGGGCAACGCGTGCACATCGGAGACATTTGGGTCTGGCCTTCACTCGCCCATCTTGGTGCTTCAAGGAGCTGTCACAGTGGCTGAGGCCATAACAATAACTTAGTTTAAAAAAAGAAAATCTCTAGAAAAATGGTATGAAGAGACATTCTGTCTGGCAAGAACTCATGTATATTTTAAATACTTCTTTTAACCAAAGAGTGGAAGCGAAGCCAAAAAAAGACATAAAACCCTCACACAGTGACTTTTCACCAGTTTTATTTGCAGGTTGGCATATTACAATTCCTAGTTTTCTTGTGCTTGCGCCAGGATCCAGATTACAGGGAGGGGAAAATATCTATACAGCCCCCACAAAGCTGTTTATTTTATTAGGTCTGAACAACCCAAATATAGTAAGGAGGAAAAAAGGTAGGAGAGGAAAATAACATCTCTGTGACTTTGGAGGCTGCTTTTTATTTGGTGGCTGAAGAATCAACTCCCACCTCAAAATATTCCCTATTCCTATTCCCAGCAGTGCAGCTACTGTTGAACTTTAATATTCAGACACATCTGCTACCAGAGAAAATTAATTTTCAGCTCTAAGATGGCTCTTAAAGGGAGGCCCCATTGATCTCAGTTGAAAATGATGGAGCCCTCACACTCATTGGTGCAATATTTAATAGCTGAGTGGCAGTTAATTAGATTACTGAGCTGCTGTGACAGATGCTAGGCAACATCTGAGGAGGAGAATTTGGAAAAGCCATTATCTTCCAGCACTGAGAAAGCTCTCAGAGATCTCATTTTAACCCCTTCCACTCTTGCCCTGCCCTAACTGTTGTCCAACCCCTGTTAAAACCAGGTGCTTCACAAATCAAAGGCCAGCATAATGCTCTGGGTGGTTTTTTTTTTCCATCTAAGAAAAGCAGGTGGTCACACTGGACAAACACCTGGCAGAGGTGCCAGGAGCTCCTCCTTGGTTCCCAGCTGGCATCAAAAGAGATGATCACTGGGAGATGCCAGTAATTTCACCCGCTGGGTGATTCCCAGGTGCACCAACCACACCAAGTGGGAAGCAGGGAAGTGAGAAGGTGTTAGAGGGTTTGGGCAGCACTCTTTCTTCCCTGTATTAAGTGAAGCGGATTTTGATGAGTCTACGGAAGAACTTCCCTCGCCACAGTCCCCACTTCCAAATAAAACCATAAGTGAAGCTTGTCAATCCCACCTCCATACGTGAGGGTTTCCCAGCTCCTTCAGCTAGCTGGAATGTAGTCTCCAGGCACCAAAGCAGGGTTGTGTGTGTTGCTGGCACTGTGAAACCCACAGACTGAGCTAGCAGAGGTGTTACGGACTTCCTGGGAAGATGATGCTCTCCGAGTGTTGCCCATATCAATATCTGCTTTCACAATGCAAGGTGAGAAGAGTTTTTGGCCTTTGCCTGGCCAGCTGCATCTCAGCATAGATTGGTGAAGACATGCAAAGCTCTGTCGAGTGAAATTGGTAACCAGAATGGCAACCAAACGTCCCACTGGGGAGGAGAGAGGAGGAACCAACAGCCCTGTTCCAGTGGCATTGCAATAGCATCTTCCCTGAGCAAGTGAGAACTGGAGCACCAGAACCAGACAGGACACCATGAGTTTCCACCAACTTTCTTATTCTCACACACCCCAAAACAACGATAAACATATTATTCTTCTGGTTACAAAACCCCTTCCCTCCCACTCAGGTCTCACGCACAAGTCTCAGAAGTTCTGACTTAACAAGCAACAGTTTGGATGTTAAATAAACACCAGGACCATCAAATGCTCCGTGGCTTCTAAGCTTTTGCTTCCGCTACCCACTGAAATGTAAATACAGAGCATAAAAAGAGATGCAGGATTTGCCAGCATCCCAAGGGTCACTTGCCTACCTATTCATCAGCTCTGAATAAATCACCCAGATAGCAAAAATATCAATCTACAGAGACTTTTTCCAAAGCACTTGTTGCCCCAGTATCTCCCAGGACTCATACGCAAGTGCTTTCAGAAACCTTAACCCCCTCAACTGCATGGGGACAGGATGTATTCCATGGTGACAACTGTGAGTGCAGGCGTGGACACATGTGCGCTCCCCTACCCACTCACCCACAGAAGGGTGATGCTGGCACATCCAGCTAGCTTGGAGCAGAGGGAGAAGGGCTGTGGCCTGCTTGCAACCATCTATGTAGATGTATCTCTTAAGATACTGGGAGGATCATTTGGAAACGATCCTCAATGGTCTCAAGTTGTGGTTCAGGTTGGATATTAGGAAGAACTTCTTCACTGTAAGAGTCGTTAAGCATTGGAACAGGCTCCCCAGGGAGGTGGTGGACTCCATCCCCAGAGGTGTTTAAAAAACATTTAGATGTGGCACTTCGAGACATGGTTTAGTGGGTTTACTGGGCATGGTGGCATTGGGTAGAAGGTTGGACTTGATGATCTTTGAGGTCTCTTCCAACCATAACAATTCTATCATTCTAAGAAACAAGAGAAACCTGGGACCTAGCTAGACTTACAACATCGCAGAGCTGATTACTGTTTTATGGCACTGCATCCCACCTTTAAACGTACCTTTCTCATAAAACATGGGCAACTTGGAACCCATGGCTTCAGCATGGTGCGTACAAACACAATCGAGGCAAGATAGCAAGTTTCAATTTAAGAGGAGGAGACCCTTACCTTATTGACCTCCTGGATACAAGCCTCTGAGCCCTGACCCTCATCACGATGGCAAGTGCTTCCAGGTGCTGACGAAAGCTGTGGGGATGAGTGAGTAAGGCACCGTTGTGATACAGTTCCATGTGTCTGATGTAGGGTCGTAGCAGTCCAGCGTTTTGCACCTCTGAGTGCCAAAGTAACCCCCCACCACATAGAGTTTATTCCCTGAGGCCAAAGCATGGCATGACATGCGCTTGGCTGTCATGTCCCCAATGCGCGTCCACTGGTCCGTTTCGCAGTCAAAGCGGTAAGCAGATGCTGCCGTGAACTCGGTGTCTCCTCCCATGATGAAAATTTGGCTGCCCAGGACAGCAGCTGCTGTGTAGCGCCAGGGCTGCGGGCATTCGGCTTTGATCATCCACCGATTCTCAGCTGGATCATAGCACTGGACCTTGGACACCATGTCTCGGTGAATGCTGGTCCCACCAAAGACAAAAAGCTTGAGCCTGGCACTCACCACCGCAGCGTTGCTCACTCCATCTCTCAAAGGAGCCACCATTGTCCATTTGTTGGATATGGGATCATACTTCTCTACTTGCTTCAAGGAAACAGAAGGAGATGCAGGAAAGACTCCAGCTACTGCAGTGTGTCCACCAACCACATACAGGCAGTTTTCCAATTCAGCCGAGCCATGCCCAAACCGAGCTATTAACATTGGGGCAGCTTTTGACCATTCCTCATGAACAGTGTCATACACCCATACATCTTTTGAGACCCCATTCTCTGAGCCCCTGCCTCCAGTGATATACACTTTGCAGCCGATGGCACAGGCACTAAACTCCTTCCGTGGACTCGGCAGGTCTGCTTTGGGGATAATTTCTTTTGCTTTGTGATCCACTTGGTAGATCTTGTCACACATGAAGGTCTGTCCTCCCAGGATCAGCAAGGTGTGCCCAGCTTTGCGAGGCCTGGCACAGGGACTGGTGACCACCCCATCATTCTGAAGGATCTTCTTCTTGCACTGAATAGCTTCATCCAAGACAAGCTTGTTCCTTTCATCCACCATGATCAAGTCCTCACAAGCCAAGGCTTCCTTCAGGCATTCAGAAGGAAGCAAGGCCAGACGAACATTCCTCAGAAGTTCTGGGAGATAAGCCTTCCGCTCATCCAGATCATATTTCACCCACTGGATGACAGCCTTAAAGACCTTTTCTTCATCCTCAATTTCCAGCTCATCACTGGAGATGAGGTCCAGTAGAGTGTCCTTGGAAAGGTTGTTGAAGTCCTCACTCTTGTGAACAGTCTCAAAGTTGACCAGGCACATCCTCCAGGAGAGCTCATAGAGCCGCCGGCACTGATGAGCATCCGAGAGCAGCATCATGCCCAGGCAGTTGGAAGGGTAGAGGTTCTTCTCCAGGAACTCAGCCGCTGCATCTCGGACATCATGGAACTGCAGCATGTCTCCAGCCTCCAGGAGGGACTCAGCGTTCTCCTCATTGATGATGATCCGAGAGGAATAAGCAAAGTCCAGCAGCAGCTCCAGCACCTCTGGGTGGAGGCTGTCATGGAAGTTCACCTCATCATCCAGGCTCTCCCGGAGGCCATTGCTAAACATGGCTTCAAAGTATCTGCTGGAGGCAGCCAGCACTGCCCGATGACATGGGAACGACCTGTTTCCTGCCCAAAGGGTGACATCGGTGAACATGCAGTGCTTCCGCAGGGTGTTCAGATGGGACAAGACGCAGTCCGGGTGGGAAGCTTTGTGAAAAAGCAAGATGTTCATGGAGCCGGTGCTAGTCCGGGATTTACGGTTCTCATGGACACTGACTGACATGATGACAGAGCTCTTGCCTGCAGGAAAACAAACAGAAAAACCATTATTCTCTTGTCCTTACTGAGGTAAGGCACGGAGAATACATACATTTGCTATCCAACCCTGGTACACTGTCAATGGACCTCAAATGTGAAGCACCAGGTGACACCCCAGTGCCCCTGCTCTGTGGGTGCTCCTGCACCCTGGCTTGCAGAGCCCGTGCCTCCTGCACCCTCACATCCTCCAAAAATTTAACTCAGGCTGAGCAGGGTGGGAAGGCAGAGTGGGGTGAAGGGGGAAATTCTGCACTTTGGTTGTAGCAACAGAGCAACAAAGTGAAGCAATCAAAACCCAAACTTGATGGTAAATTGTCTCAACAGCCCCTAGAGGGTATTGGCAAACCACAGAAGAGATATTTTTCCTTAGAAAACAGCATTAAGAGAGCAGTCTATCCAGGATAAAGGGCATCGGTCTGTTCTTGGCTCAGCAGAAATCAAGTTTGGCTTCTGATTTTCATGAAGATTACTGCAGGTTTAGGAAAGGCAATTGCTACCGGTTTTATTTACAGAATATTTAGCTACCAGCACAAGCCAAAAGTTTTGAACAAATTTTACCAAACCTTTTCATTGTAATTTTTGTTGATAAAACTGACCAGACACTGCATGTGACATACACATTTTGCAGGACAGATTCACATCAGAGAATAAGACAAAAGACACAGCTAAACTATGCTTTTTAACAGACAGGCAGAAGCAAACACCAGGCTTTTATTAGCTACTATTTCATTTAAGTGCCACGCGATACCTATCCTTGCCTGTAGAAGAAAAACCCTTTGGACCAATCAAATTAATACTGCTTAGATGATAAAATCCAGGTCATTTACTCCAAAATATTTTAGCTGGCTCTATTTTCTTCCTCATGTAACTAAAAAAGGGTTGCTTGAAAAAACAGTACCTGGCTCTCCTATATCTTCTCTCTCACCCAACACTATTTTTCTATCCCTCTTCTACCCTGTCTTCCTCCAAAACTCTGCAGTTTTGTTTTGCAGGCTGGAGACATCAGGGCTGAAATCCCATGGCATCCCGCTCCAGCCACCTAATTGTTTAGAAATAGGTAATAAGCCACACAGATATAGTTGGGGAGGGGTAGAGGTGGGGGTTTGGCCTCCACGCTTGCTCACTCTCAACCATTCCTCAGCCTCCCACCCCTATTTTGGTCTCCAAGCTGGCTCAGTCTCAACTCCTTGGCCTCCCACTCCTTTTTGACCTCCACTCTTGCTCACCATCTCAACTCTTCCTCAGCCTCCCACCCCCTTTTGGCATTTGGGGATGTTGGTTGATGAGAAGCTCAACACGACCCAACAACATGTGCTGGCAGCGCAGAAAGCCAACTGTATCCTGGGCTGCATCCAAAGCAGTGTGACCAACATGTTGAGGGAGGGGATTCTGCCCCTCTGCTCTGCTCTGGTGAGACCCCCCCTGCAGTACTGCCTTCAGCTCCGGGGTCCTAAGCACAAGAAGGCCATGGACCTGTTGGAGTGAGTCCAGAGGAGGCCATGAAGGTGATCTGAGGGCTGGAGCACCTCTGCTGGGAAGACACGCTGAGAGAGTTGGGGTTGTTCAGCCTGGAGAAGAGAAGGCTCCAGGGAGACCTTAGAGCAGCCTTCCAGTACCTAAAAGGGCTGACAAGAAAGCTGGGGAGGGACTTTTTACAAGGGCCTGAAGTGATAGGGGCAATGGCTTTACACTGGAAGAGGGAAGATTTAGATTGGATATTGGGAAGAAATTCTTCACAGTGAGGGTGGTGAGGCAGTGGCACAGGTTGCCCAGAGAAGCTGTGGATGCCCCATCCCTGAAAGTGTTCAAGGCCAGGTTGGATGAGACTCTGAGCAACCTGGCCTTGTGGAAGGTGTCCCTGCCCATGGCAGGGGGGTTGGAACTAGATGACCTTTAAGGTCCCTTCCAAACCAAACCATTCTATGATTCCTCAGCTTCCTAACATCTTCTAGCCTCCCACTACCTTCTGGCCTCTACACTTGTTCAGACTCAACTCTTTCTCAGCATCCCACACCGTTTTGGCCTCCACATTTTTCAGTTTCAAACATCCCTCAGCCTCCCACACACTCTTGGCCTTCACTCGTCCTCAGCCTCAAACCTCCTGCAGCCTTCCACCTCGTTTTGGCCTCCAAGCTGGCTCAGCCTCAACCCTTCCTCGGCCTCCCACCTCCTTTTGGCCTCCATGCTTGCTCAGCTTCACCCCTTCCTCAGCCTCCCATCTCCTTTTGGCCTCCCACCACCTTGTGGCCCTCATCCTTGATCAGCCTCAACCATCCCTCAGCCTCCCATCACCATTTGGCCTCCCACACCCTCTTGGCCTTCACACTTGTTCAGCCTCAACTCTTCCTCAGCCTCCCACCCCATTGTGGCCTCCACATTTGCTCAGTCTCAACCATTCCTCAACCTCCCACCTTCCTTCTTCCTACCTGTGGAAGAAAAAGCCTTTGGATCAATCAAATGAATACTGCTTAAGTTAAAAGTTGAGACCCTGTTCAGATGCACAGGAGCATCAGGGGCTGCCGCCTTCAGCTCAGCTTCCCTGCCAACACAAGGCAGCCACCAGAACAGCTACAAGCTGGGGAAAGTGGGCCTAATTCACAGGAAAAAGGGGTTGCTTGAGAAACAGTAAAGGCTCTGCTATAACTTCTCTCTCACCCAACGCTATTTTTCTATCTCTTGTCTACCCTGTATTCCCCAAAACTCTGCAGTTTTGCTTCGCAGGCTGGAGACACCAGAGCTGAAACCCCACAGCATCCCACTCCAGCCACCTAACTGTTTAGAAATTGGTAATTAGCCACACAGATAAAGTTGGGGAAGGGTTTTTAGTTGTTTGTTTTTTTTTCATTGTTGTTTGGTTGTTTTTTTAACTTGCTCTTTGCAGCCCCAGGTTTCTCAAAGGTCTTTCTCCCCAGCAAGTACAAGGTCTACAGATCAGCCCCGTCCTCCCCATCTGGGCTGAGCTCACCGACATCGTCCCAGCCCTGCACTTGGGGTCCTAGGGGAAACCATGAAATGAGGAGAGACGTGGTGCTCCCAGGCTGCCGGCAGGCCACAGCCTTGACCTGGCAGAGACCTGGAGCCACACACCCCTGCCACGCTCCACGGGTGGATGACCTCCAGTGGAGGTCGATGGCCAGATAAGCTGCCTGACTCACGCTCTGTTCATGCGCTTCCTACCCCCTGCTTCTCCAGTGTCTCCAAAGGAGCCCAAATTCGACAAATAGTTGTGGCCGCATCCCTCCTTCCCCACCCGCTGCCATGAATTATTGAGGTTCATCTTCCCGAGGCCTCACTCATTCCTCAGGGCTGTGTCGCAGTCCAGGGAAAAGGTCTTTCTGTGCTTCTCCGTGCAGAAACAACAGCTTGCCCAACGGCCACAGCTCCTACTCGGCCTCCAAGCCAGGCAGGAGCACTGACGTGGGTATTTGGGTTGGATATGTGCATGCTCATCACCAAAATCTCTGCAGCCTGGGGTTTAGGCCACCCAACTCATTTTGCTTTTGATCGGAGACTGTGCAGAATCAAGGCTCCAAAACAGGAAGGAAAATGCCATTACAGAGCAGCACTTTGAAGTGCATCTGAGGGAAATGGTTTCCAACATCTACGCCCAGGGCAGGGACAACACTAATTTAAGAGTTTTTATGGATTCCCGTGTCAAAGCTCTATAATGCCGAAGCGAGGAATACAAATGAAACATTTATGAGTGTGCTAAAAGCTATTGATTTAGGTTCCTATTCCTACAACCTCAGAAACTACCCAGCTGTTGCTACTGCTTTCTTTGCTCGCAGCTCAGGTCAGCTATTCAACGTTAACCTTTGATTTGCTTATGTACAAAAAATTAAGCAATTTATATAGAACAGCTATGGAAACAAACAAAAAGATTGTAGGAAGGCAGCATCATTTTTTTCTGACACTAAGATTAGAAAAGCCACTACCCAGAATGGAAGGAGCAGGTCATTTAGGAATTAAAAATGTCTATACAAAAGCTGCAGCAGAGCCACTTTATATATATATATACACAGACACATATATGTATACACACACATACATATAAAAAATTTCAGGCTTCTAACATCAAACATCTTGCCCAGGGCACTGGGTAACCAAATAATCTATCTATCCAACAGGTATTAAAGAGCACCCAGGGAATAAATTGGCAGGTTCCAGCCCAATCCCCATTAGCACTGCTCTTCATATCACCCGGTCCCACTACAGGCACCAACCACCAGTACAGCTGCAAGCCTGAAAGCTAAAGAGGTCCCAGCCCCAGCCCCTTTACTTGGCTTCTCCTGGAGCTGGGTTATGACACTGGATGTCACTGGTCACAGATCAGCAGGGCTTAACAGACAATTAAACTCAAACTAAAGCAGCCTCTGAACTCTGGTGTACAGCCATCTCACCAGCAAGGCTTGCTTGAGGTTTTCAGCAACTTCCCAACAGCTTGTTTTGAGGGCTTCTTGAATCCTACCATAGCTGGGCACAAGCAGAAAAGTGGCAGGTACTAATTTTTCCCCTGACAAACACACCCCCACCGCATCTCTCAGTCTACCACAGAACTTGGCATCATCCCACCCGTATCAGATGAACAGAAACTGCAGGCAGCAGCAATTTCATCTGATGGGTTTCTTCCAAAATCTAGCAGCCTTATAAACCTCAGAAGCCTGTAACTAAAAGGATCTTCTCCACTTTTCCTGATGTGCCCAAACGTATGCTTCAATTTAAACAACATTTAACTGCAGCGATGAACAGGCTGGACCCGTGACATGTGCTCTTACAGGCACTTCTCAGAAGCAGATGCATGCAGAGCAGAATTTGGCCCCTACCACATTCCTCGCTTCCCTTACCCAGCTACTGAGCTAAAGAGAAAAAACAGAACCACTCAGAATGAGGAACATTTTACACAAAGAAACCTGTCAGTGGCTCCTGCCAAGCTCCCACCTGCTCTGCGAGAGCTCAGGGGGTTAT